TTCAGGTGTGCATGTCCGGTTCACACTCAGCTGGTCATCGTGTTTTTACAGCGTAAGACTTTCCATAATGCATTGCAATTTATAGTATTTTGGAAAAGAATACATATTAATGTCTATTAAAATTGGCCTGTCTTTGTTTTTCCTTTACCCAGATAATCTCCTTGTTTTGCTTTGCATACATGATTGATAGGGCCCATTACATCAATGCAGTATGTTACAATTCCAAATGTTTATTGTACATAAACATACAGAAAAAAAATGCTTCCTTCATTAAAAGCCTAATAGAATGAGCTGAATAGTGACAAAATAGCTATAAACTTGATGTGGTTAAAGCAATCACTGACTAAGTCCTAAACGAAGTCCAGTACTGGTTGCTAATTCCGTGGATTAAGTTTAGACGTGTGCCGTGTGATCTTACACATAAAAAAAAGACGGAGCGTTCAGTAATGTTACTATTATCTAGCAATTTATTTTCCTGCATATCATACAGTGGCAATATCTTAAAGGGTTAGTTCACCCAAAAATGAAAATTCTGTCAGTATTTACTCGCCCTCATGTTGTTCCAACCCCGTAAGACCTTCGTTCATCTTCGGGACACAAATTAAGATATTTAAGATATTAAGATCGCTCCTGCATACTAGTCCATAGGCTTCTTGAGGGACTGGCTCTTGCTGTCTCCGAAAAGTCATTAAAGACATCGTTAAAATAGTCCAAGTGACTACAGGGGCTCAATCTTGAGTTTATCAAACGACGAGAACACTTTTGTGCGCAAAACAACAACAAAAATAACGACTTTATTTCAACTATTCACTTCCTTCTCCATGAGCCTGTAAGTCAGTTAACGTAGTGTGATTGCGTAGAGCTACGTCACACGTAGGCTCACTATTGGCCGACGCTGGTCATGTGTGTGTGATGCGTGTGACGTACAATAACAGAAGCTTACGCTATTAAACTAGTAACCTGACTCGCGCAGAGGGAGAAATAAACGAATAGTTGAAATAAAGTCGTTATTTTTGTTGTTTTTTTTGCGCACAAAAGTGTTCTCGTCGTTTGATAAAGTTAAGATTGAGCCCCTGTAGTCACTTGGACTATTTTAACGATGTCTTTAATGACTTTTCGAGGACAGCAAGAGCCAGTCCCTCGAGAAGCCTATGGACTAGTATGCAGGAGCGATCTTAATATCTTAAATATCTTAATTTGTGTTCCGAAGATGAACGAAGGTCTTACGGGGTTGAACAACATGAGGGTGAGGAAATACTGACAGAATTTTCATTTTTGGGTGAACTAACCCTTTAACTCATACTGTAACATGCAACAAACCGTATTATTTACACCCAAAGGCACAATCGAAAACTGTTTGCTTCCCAATCAGCCAACACCTGTGTCTGAGTTTCCTCCAGATTAAAAGACTTAAGGCCAATTTATACTTCTGCGTCGAGGGTACGCCGTAGTGTACGGCGTTGGCTTCGCACGTAGGCGACGCCGTCGTGAGCATTTATACTTCTGCGTTCAGGTATTGGTTGCTCTGCAGTACTGCTCCGAAACGCTAGTTGGCGGCGGAGAGTTTTAATGTTCCACTGTGTTTAGATTCCTCGCGGCTAGGTTACTACAAGCAATAGCGACTGAAAGAGACCGGATCATGTTGGAGTTGGAGCTTATTGGGGTGAAAAAACAGTTCATTTTAGTGAAATTACTAAAACTGAAAGGCAGAAATGAGAGAAGATGTCAGAGGAGATGGTACGTGTGGAAATGCGTGAGAAGGTACGTGCGGAAATGCGTAGGAGGAAATGCGATGCTACCAAGCCGACCAATCACCGATCTTGCGGTCCGCGTCGTCGCGACGTGTAGTTACATTTTTGAAGAGGTGCGCGTCAGGCAACGCGGAAGGGTACGCGGTATGGGACGCGTCTGTGCGTATGCTACGCCGTACCTACTGCGCGCACCCTACGCAGAAGTATAAATTGGCCTGTAGTGTACGGCGTTGGCTACGCACGTAGGTGACGCCGTTGTGAGCATTTATACTTCTGCGTTCAGGTCTTGGTTGCTCTGCAGTACTGCTCCGAAACGCTAGTTGGCGGCGGAGAGTTTTAATGTTCCACTGTGTTTAGATTACTCGCGGCTAGGTTACTACGAGTGAAAGAGAGCTGATCATGTTGGAATTGGAGCTTATTAAGGTGGAAAAACAGTTCACTTTAGTGAAATTACTAAAACTGAAAGGCAGAAATGAGAGAAGACTTCGGAGGAGATGAAACTTGTGGAAATCATAGACAGTGGTGGAAATGCGTGAGAAGGTACGTGCGGAAATGCGTAGGAGGAAATGCGATGCTACCAAGCCGACCAATCACCGATCTTGCGGTCCGCGTCGTCGCGACGTGTAGTTACATTTTTGAGGAGGTGCGCGTCAGGCGACGGCGAAGGGTACGCGGTATGGGACGCGTCTGTGCGTATGCTACGCAGAAGTATAAATTGGCCTTTACCCGGGCTGACCCGAGATCAGCTGTGCCACAAAACACATACAGCCCCCTAGTGGCACAAGGGTGAAGTCTCGCAGACTAGAAGTCATCAGTCGTCTAAAAGTGGCTGCAGCATTTTTCAAAGCAAAAGGTAGACGCAAAAAATCATATTGGGCATTTTTGGTCACAAAAGCAGTTTTAGAAATGCTCGCCTCATCCATTAGCCACTTCTTAAATCCAACGTACTGAAAACGGTAGCCCCATACAGAGAAGTAAGAATATCATGTTTATGTGGCACAGGAAAGCCATCAAGGGGCGTCTTTGCGTTCACAGGGTAATGATGGAAGTACATCCTAACGAATCTGTGCACACTGTAGGCCAACAGTTGTTCCAATTGTCTTTTTTGACTCCTTGAAGCCTCTGCTACACTCACCAACTCCATTACCGTGGCTTGACTAGTATCATTCAGCGGCCTAGTTGGAACTGCTACATGCAATCTTGTACTTGAGGATGATGTAATAGCAGGCTTGAAGTCACCAGGGTTAGTAAAGTAATGTAGCTCCTCGTCTTTGGGGAACTCGCATAATGTGGTGGCGAAATCCAACTTCACCCCAGAAAAAAGTCCCACGACGAGAGGAAATGCCAAATCACAATTTCGCATCACGAATGCTCTTAAAGGGTTAGTTCACCCAAAAATGAAAATTAAGTCATTAATTACTCACCCCCATGCTGTACCAACCCCGTAAGACCTTCGTTCATCTTCGGAACACAAATAAAGATATTTTTGATTGAATCTGAGAGCTGGATCACTCTTCCATAGACAGCCTGAGGGACTGACTCTTGACGGCCCATAAAGTCATTAAAAGAAAAGGTTTAAATATTCCATGTGCCTACAGCGGCTCAATTATACGTTTATCAAGTGATGAGACTACTTTTTGTGCGAAAAAAAAAACGTAAATAACGACTTTATTCGACTTTCCATTACTTCCTTATGGGCGCATGCACGAGAACTGAGACGAGACCGTTCTTCTTCGACTACTTTTTGTTACCGGCTGCTCCGCTTAGGAGTTTTACCGCCCCCTACCGTATAAGATGACGTACTGCTTGTAAACAGAACGTTTTGCGCCTCCGGCTATATCAGTACGTCATCTTATACGGTAGGGGGCGGTAAAACTCCTAAGCGGTGAGCAGCCGGTAACAAAAAGTAGTCGAAGAAGAACGTCCTCGTGTCAGTTCTCGCGCATGCGCCCATAAGGAAGTAATGGAAAGTCGAATAAAGTCGTTATTTACGTTTTTTTTTCGCACAAAAAGTAGTCTCGTCGCTTGATAAAGTTATAGTTGAGCCGCTGTAGGCACATGGAATATTTAAACCTTTTCTTTAATGACTTTCTGGGCCGTCAAGAGGCAGTCCCTCAGGCTGTCTATGTAGGACTGATCCAGCTCTCAGATTCAATCAAAAATATCTTTATTTGTGTTCCGAAGATGAACGAAGGTCTTACGGGGTTGGTACAGCATGGGGGTGAGTAATTAATGACTTAATTTTCATTTTTGGGTGAACTAACCCTTTAAAGAATAAACTTTGCCATACACTATACACTGCAGAGAAACTTTACCAAGTGCATGTTTCTAGAGAAAATGTCTGACCCTTACTTGACTGTAAAACCTCCCCTACATGTTTGATTTGATTCCATGAAGACTCTTGGATCAAAGAATAAGTACTACCTGTATCAATAATTGCCTCCAAAATAGAGTAGACATGGAGGATTTAGCATACATAGCAATGTTATGGTTGTTCGGCCTCCCTCGATCAGACTTTCCTCCTCCACGCAAAGTTGCTTGTTCAGCTTGCCTCTGCCTCCAGAAAACTCTCTCCTCGTTCAGGTCCCGTTCCACCAGTGAACTAGTTCCTCTATTGTGGATACCGTCCCTCTCAAGATGCTGGCAATGCGAGGATTGCAATTCCTCAATATAGCTTGAAGAATGTCATGTTCTGTCATGGCTTATGGTAGAACTGTTTGCCACAACAGGAGGGCTCAGCTCACTTTTCCTTTATACACTTTTGAACAAGCCTGCACCAGAAGATTTCTGCCTGCACCTACAGGGCATGTTTCCGTAGCGTAGTGGTTATCACGTTGGCCTCACACGCGAAAGGTCCCCAGTTCGAAACTGGGCGGAAACTGTGGATGGTCTTTGCTACAATTTTTTCAGTGGATTTTTTCCACTCCTTCCTGCCCCCCTTGACCAAAATGAAAGGCTTAAACACCAATAACTCCCATAATGGAAAGCATGTCCAGTATTAAGTGACTTCTCACCGGCTGAGCATGCAACGCCGTACCGCTCAGGGACACCGGTGTAACGACCAGTCCTCGTTAGTATAGTGGACAGTATCTCCGCCTGTCACGTGGAAGACCAGGGTTCGATTCCCCGACGGGGAGGCTTCTTCTTTACCACGGACAAACACCATGTATGAGCTCATGCTCTGCTGATAAAGCCAACCTGCCGTTCAAGACTCACCTGAGGGTGGTTAGCTAATTCCATTCCAAAGGCTTTACTTTCAAGAAAGCGTTTGTTATAGTTTGTTTTATGCATGTTTATGCTCCCCTCAACGGAAATCTTAAGTAAAAGGCGAAAGATTTATGCGTGAATGAAGAGAAACTCGAGCTGTAACCATGAGACGTTGGGACAATGTGCTATCACACACATGCCACCATGCTCAGCAAGGGTGATTTCTGGTGCAGGCTCCCCCCACCTAGCTTTTTGTCTTTTTTTTTTTGTTAAAACAATAATAGCCATTTCCATTAGAGGATGGAGCAGATGTAATAAGAATCTGCCCCATCACCAGATGACCGGCAAACCCTGTCTAAGAGGATGTCTCTGAACCAGTGTCTAGAATTCCTGGGATTTTTAGGAACTTCCTGGAGGCTAAATGAACAAACCCTTCATCTCCTTGGATTGCAGGTGGATTCCTCCACAGGAGAGGGAGAGCTCCTCTTCTTGCCCCCCTTTGGCCAAAATGAAAGGCTTAAATACCAATAACGCCCATAATGGAAAGCATGTCCAGTATTAAAGGGTTAGTTCACCCAAAAATGAAAATTCTGTCAGTATTTACTCACCCTCATGTTGTTCCAACCCCGTAAGACCTTCGTTCATCTTCGGGACACAAATTAAGATATTTAAGATATTAAGATCGCTCCTGCATACTAGTCCATAGGCTTCTTGAGGGAATGACTCTTGCTGTCCCCGAAAAGTCATTAAAGACATCGTTAAAATAGTCCAAGTGACTACAGGGGCTCAATCTTAACTTTATCAAACGACGAGAACACTTTTGTGCGCAAAAAAACAACAAAAATAACGACTTTATTTCAACTATTCACTTCCTTCTCCATGAGCCTGTAGTCAGTTAACGTAGTGTGATTGCGTAGAGCTACGTCACACGTAGGCTCACTATTGGCCGACGCTGGTCATGTGTGTGATGCGTGTGACGTACAATAACAGAAGCTTACGCTATTAAACTAGTAACCTGACTCGCGCAGAGAGAGAAATAAACGAATAGTTGAAATAAAGTCGTTATTTTTGTTGTTTTTTTGCGCACAAAAGTATTCTCGTCGTTTGATAAACCTTAGATTGAGCCCCTGTAGTCACTTGGACTATTTTAACGATGTCTTTAATGACTTTTCGAGGACAGCAAGAGTCATTCCCTCAAGAAGCCTATGGACTGTATGCAGGAGTGATCTTAATATCTTAAATATCTTAATTTGTGTTGAGAAGATGAACGAAGGTCTTACGGGGTTGAACAACATGAGGGTGAGTAACTAAATACTGACAGAATTTTAATTTTTTGGGTGAACTAACCCTTTAAGTGACTTCTCAATGGCTGAGCATACAATGCCGTACCACTATCTCCGCCTGTCACACGGAAAACCAGGGTTCGATTCCCCGACGAGGAGGCTTCTTCTTTACCACGGACACCTTGTATGAGCTCATGCTCTGCTGATAAAGCCAACCTGCCGTTCAAGACTCACCTAAACGGTGGTTAGCTAATTTCATTTGAAAGGTTTTACTTTCAAGAAAGCGTTTGCAATGGTTTGTAAAAGGTTGTTTCATGCATGTTTGGCCTGAGTTTGTGTGGCATTTCCACTGTTGCATTTCCAATCTGACCAGCAGGGGTTCCCAGTGTGGCCTTCCGAATGCGTCGAAACAGTTAATCAATTTGCAAAGCAATCAGTTGCTCGTGCCAAGAGCGTGGTGAGCTGAAACCTGCGTACGTCACGAAGTGCGGAACATTCAATAGGAAAATTCAACTGCAGTAGCCACCGTTCAACCTGAAGAGGGCAGCACTAAGACGTTTTTACACCATATATTGTAGAAATAAAACACTTTATACACAAATGTCACAAAAGTTACTCGAATCAATGACTGATATTAATAAATATTCATTCTTACAGATCTAAAAAAAGTTGGTTTAGGGTTTAGTTACTCTACTTTAGTTTAGGGGAAAGTTTTTTTTCTTCTTTTTTTAATGTCTTTTAATGATGGAAAAAAGTACCAATTGGAGAATCACCCATAGGCTATGTTTTCTTTATAACATTATTATGTAACATCATTACATATATAGTAATATCATATCAATAATAATATTATTATGTAATAGCTTATTACTTTTTATTGTAAAAAAATGTATAGGCACATACAGACATCAAGAATGGGTTGAGATGACTCCATGTTTAACATAGGCTACACCGATTTTGTGGCTCAGATAAAGTCCAGTTCTGGTTTATTTCTTTGCTCATGGCTGACATGTGGCGTCATTCCACGCTGTATGTCGGCCAGATTCGCATCCCACAAGTGGCAGATGTGGGCTGGATCTGGGCTGAAACTATGTTGGTATGTGGGGCGTAAGTGGCTTTTAACAAACTTTACAGGAGAGACAAAACAAAATTTTGACCACACTTCAATCACCTGTATTATTAACCTTAAACCACAAACATTGCAACCACAGGCATACTTACAGGAATTAGTATTTAAGTAAAAAATGTGTGGCATATTAACACAATGACAATGTTCTAAAACATTTTCAAATAAAAAAAAAAAGTCAAATACATCAGATACGCCTTTTTGTTGCTTTATTCAATACAGTTTGATCTCAGATATGTATTTTTGGCACCATTGGATAGAGCTCACCGAGACCTTTATTTTGATAAAGAACTCATATTCGCCTTCCTGTCACAAAGACAAATTCCTTGTGTGTGTAAAGTGAACAAAGTCTATAATTTAACCATCTCGAATTAGCTATAAAATTAGTTAAACATTTCTGTTAGCCAAAACAATCATTTGAATTTTATTCCCAAACTGCATAGTTTAAAAAAAAATCACAATCTTCAGAGAAACATGTAATTAAAAAATAAAATTGTACGCTTAACTCTTGGTTTGAAGCATAAATCTGTACAGAGGCAATAATGCAACGAGTGTTGTAGTTTTTAACGCCCCTTTATAAGCGTTTCAGCATGAATTTTATGCATTGTTCATTGATTTGTCAACCGGAACCATCGCTTTGTGTGATCGTGTGTTCACTCCGGGATGTTTTCAGCGCGCTCGAGTTTCCGGTGTGTCTGGACACTGGCGTTTGTTTTCTGTTATTCATCAGAGCGTCAGTTCAGCGCGAATTCAACACACACACTATAAGATGGACATGTAAGTTTACAAAGCGCTGCCTTACGACGAGCTCCTCAGATCATGGCGGTCCCCATGGAAAGTCAGCTGCAGAGTATTTTTGAGGATGTAGTGGTGGGTCATTTCATTCATTATAAGATTGTCCCATATAATACTATATTAGCAGACAATTATATTATAATACAAATAAAAAATAAACAAACTGTCAACTGTTTTTTCACACTAGAAAACTGAGGTGATAGAAGAGGCGTTTGCTGGGTGAGTAAATAAGAAAGACTGAAACTAGCGCTAAAATGTAGCCAGTGAAGGGACGAGAGTCAGCTGTGTGTGTGTGTGTGTGTGTGTGTGTGTGTGTGTGTGCAGCATGTTCATGGACAGTGCGGAGGATGAGAGGAATAAACTCCTGAGCTGTTTAGGAGCCTTCAGACAGTACTGGATCAGCCTGCCCCAGGTCAGCTCACACTCGTTCATCTGGTTACAGTAACGTTAGTTCAGCTCTGTGATGTTAGTCCTGCCCTGGGATATTGCAGTGTATGTTCTGAATGAATTATCTGTGTGCACAACTGCACATCTTTGTTTTAAATTCATGTGTCTCATATTCTTGAATCAGAATATCTCTAGTTACGCTAGTCTTTTCCTGACTATTGTGTCCTGTATGTCTGAGTAAAACCTGAGTGGGCGGGGCTTGATTGTGCCCGTGAGGAATTGATTGGACGATTGTGGTTTGCTATTGGTGGATCTGGTTTGATTGACAAGTTGCCCCGCCGTCCTCATCATCATCATCATCATCATCATCAGAGAAGAGAATAGATGCTGCAAGAGGAAGATATTCTGATTCAAGATAATTAGGAACGTGGATTTAACACAATAATGATGTGCACCAAAAATATTTTTGAAAAAACATTGCAAAATTCACTAGGAAAATAAGAATCAGAGCTTAAGCTTAAAGGGATAGTTCACATCGTAATTAATTTTTGATGTTTTAGCTTACCTCAAGGGCATCCAAGATGTAGGTGTCCGTTCTTGTCTGTTTTTAGTCATATAATGGAGGTATATGGGGTTCACCTCAAAGAGCAGCACAGAGAAGTCCAAATTAAACATGATTTAATGACTCATACATGTAAGTACACATTGATGGCCTAAGACACGAAACGAGCGGTTTGTGTGAGAAAACCAACAGTATTTATATCGTTTTTACCTCTTGTAATCACAGACACGTCTAAGTGATCTGAGGGCTTCTGTCTGCGCATGCGCCGGAAGTGATCTCTCTCGCGCGTGTGCGTCACTCATTGTTTACACAGAGATTTCGGAAGTGTTATCCTTCACTGTGAAGATATAAACATATTTAGATATACAGGAAATCGCAATGGAAGACGATTTCGATATATCGATATATAGCATCTGCGCGAGAGATCACTTCTGCTGCTTTCCAGCGCTTGCGCAGACCGAAACGCCCATACCGTCAGATCACTTGGATGTGGCTATGATAACAAGAGGTAAAAACAATATTAATACTGTTGGTTTTCTCACACAAACCGCTCGTTTCATGCCATCAATGTGTACTTACATTTACGAGTCATTAAATCATGTTTAATTTGGACTTCTCTGTGCTGCTCTTTGAGGTGGACCCTCATACCTGCATTATATGACTGACAGACAAGAACGGTTTGACCTCAAAATATATTAAAATTGAAACTACTGTGGAAACAAAGACACCTACATCTTGGATGGCCTTGAGGTAAGATAAAACATACCAAAAATTAATTTCAGTGAACTATCCCTTTAAAACTTGAGACAAAGATTTACGATGGTGATAACTGTGCGAATATTATTTTTCCTATAAAGTAATTTTGATGGCCAGTTAGAACAGGTGTGGCAGAGAGATTGTGTTTAATGTGTGTGTGCTGTCACTGCAGGAGTCACATGATCAGTGTGTGCAGTGGATTGTCCGCTTCATTCATGGTCAGCACAGCCCCAAACGCATCGCCTTCCTCTACGACTGTTTGGCCATGGCGGTGGAGACCAGCCTCCTGCCTCCCAGGTCACAACCACAACCAACTACACACACACACACACACACACACACACATACACACATACACACACATACACACAGGCAATGTGTTGTGGTTTCCAGGGGCCCTGGTTACATGCATACATGCAAATATATAACACAAAAGAATAGGAAGAACATCAAATATTAAAGAAATAAATAGTAAGTTTAATTATTTTTTCTTAAAGTAATATAAATCTAGATCAGAAGACTTTTTACAGATGTTTACATTATGCACTGTAACTAGGGGTGGGAATCTCTTGGCACCTCACGATTTTTTGTTGTAAAGTACTTCGCTTTTAGAAGTACAAAGTACTGAACAATAAAGAATTAAAGTTGAATTCCTACTGCCATTTGCAGAAATACACAGCTCCCGGTCAGAAACAACCAATCAGAGCCAGGAGGAGTGTCTTAGCAGTGTTAATCACGCGCGTGTACGCCCTGATCACACTCGCTCTCTCTTGCACAGCGCGTACCGTCGTTCAAACTCAATATTGCTGTGCCGCAGCTCGAGTGGCACCTGCTCATAAAACAAAGACGGGTAAAAGGAAAAAAAATGATGATAAACAAGTGAAAAACAAAGAATTTAGACAGAGCCCATTGACTCATTGTCAAAACTCTAGCCGCGTTACATGTAGATGCTTTTTTAAACATCTACAACATGCTTTTTTAAACTTTCTGAACTAGCCGCATATTTGTAGTAATTAATAATATAACAACGACCGGCGTACAGCTGAGTGATTTTCCTCCTCTGGGTGGAAACGTGTCGTATGGCTTCTCAATATTTTTGTGTTTTTCCGAAATATTTTAGTTTTATTCTTAACTAGTGTGGCTCTTGTTCAGCTCCTTTCCCCTTTCAACTCCATAGCCAAAAATATTGCCACTCGTCAGCTTTTAACAAGGAGGGTGTTTGGATGTCATGCTCAGCCCGTGTCTGGTTCGCGCGCGCACTACACTTCAGCGCTTCAGAGTACCCTCTTTCGCGTTCCATCAATATTACGTTATTATAAATATATATAATTATTTTTTTTGATATTTTGAGAATCGATTCAGAATCGTCTGCATCGCGATGCATCTAAGAATCGTTTTTTCCCCACCCCTGACTGTAACTGTATAAATGAAATTATGTATTTTCAGGTCAAGTATATTTATATAGCGCTTTTCACAATATAGATTGC